CGAGTGAGGAACACTTTGGGAACATGGTCATGACCCGTTGATTAAATTTGCTGGAAGAAGTCATCTGGGCCTGTTGGGTTGGTATCAAATCTGGAGATTATGCACCTAGCCCCGGTCCCTTTCATATAACTGCCTCTTTTTAAAAGGTTAATTCTTTTTGGCTGAGGCTTCCCAGGAAAAGCTTTTGTTAAGTGGCTTCACTTATTTTTTTTTAATTTTTGCCTGGAGGAAGCACTGGTGATGAATGCCTTCTGTTTGTTGTTGTTGTTTTTGTTGTTCATTTTCTCTTAAAGAAAAATGCCCTTAAGAGAGTAAAGCTGCTTAATTAATTTCTATGTGACTACAAACTGACACACTAAGATGGAAAGCTGCCACGGCGCTTGAGTGGTGAAGCTGATGATGGCACTCTGTGCTGTTCATCCTTCCTGTTCCATTTGATAGAAATTTCCTGAGCTTCAAACTAGTGCCAACCCTGTGCTGGGTCATGGAGATATAGGGAAGGGAAGGACAGTCCTTGCTCCTGAACTCAGTGTCTGTTGGGATGTATTTGAATGTATGTGTGGCTTGAGAGTTTGTTGATGGTTTTATGAAAGGCCAGTCATCTTGGATGGCCCATTCAAGATACTGTCCAGCACCCTTGAACAACTTAAATACCATCAGTATCTGTGAGTTTGATTGCAATACTGTTTTCCATTTCTTAAGTGATTTTACCAGAGGAGAATGACTTTTCTCCTCCAGTGATTATAGGACAACAGCATCTCTTAAGAGCTGCTTTTAGCATAAAGCCCCAAGACATGAGGCAGGCTGTGGATCACAGACATGGTCAGAAGAGGCTCACTTCTCAGCTTAGTAACCTCCTAAGCTCTTGCTCAATCAGACCTCTCACCAGAGCTGGAAGCAACTTGAGATTCCTTTCCTTTTGTTCCTGCGTGGCTTTTTATTGCGATGGAAGGCCAGCGGGTGAGGAAGGCAAGAAAAATGAAGGCTGGATCATAATCATAAAATATTACATGGCTGAAATGGGCACGAAAATCATCCAATTCAAACTATCCCCCCTGCCGCCCCGCTTGTTTTTTAAGAAGTGAGGAACTTGAGGTTCAGTGCCTCGTGCCATGTTTGTACCGCAGTATTCCAGAGTCTGAATGTATCGTCCTTTACTCACACACACGTACAATTTGCTAAAAAGGGGGACACCCAAATGGATTTAGGAGTCTTTGTTTTAAAAGCTTTTTCTTCCTGCTTTTTTCAGATAGAATTAAAATGTACCTATATCCCCTGAATATACACCCATGTAGGGAAAATCCCCATAGAGAGAGTAATGGGAATGTGGAATCTTGGGAAGTGATAAATTTTGATTGGAACAGCTGTCATTTTAACTACCAAGGGTTAAAACCCAGCCAGCACTTCATTTTTCTTAGAAAATCAAGAACTCCTTAGGGACTTGAATTTTTCTCAGCCAGCCTTTTCCACATCAACCTACAGATTGGTCTTTTGGCCTGTATTTTAGAAGTGAGTAGAGCTGCTTATAAATTCTTGTGACTCAATGAGAAAGCAAGTCTGCCTTTATAAAAAAAAAAAAGTTGGGGGTGGGATTTTAGGAACAGAGGCTGCTGAATAGACTTTCCTCCAAAGATACCCAGAAATGCATCTTTACACATGACTGTTATCCATAATAGCTTTTTGAAGAAGATTGTTCTACAGAAGAGACGTACGATATACACAGAAGTCACCAGTTTAGAGACTGGTTAAACTGGATGAAGGAAAAGTGCCAAGACTGAATGTGCACACTGTTCTATGTAATATCAGTATTTTTTTCCCTAAGAAAAATACATACTTTGCTTTGTGAGTAAATGCTTCCTTAATGCCTTGTCTCAGTAAGTGTGGGAGGCAACCTCAAACTTGGGGCAGGCTCCCTTTCTACCTTTTCTGGTGTCTTAACTAGTTGTACAAAGCCAAGGTAAGGCCAGGCTTATTCCTCTCTCTTTTCTCTCATTTAATATGGGGTAGAAACAGGCAATGCCCTCTTCAAAGATCAAGCCGTGAGAGCTTGGGTCCTGGCTCCAGGTGGCAGCAGATTCTCCCTTGTTGGCCCTGCCCCCTCTCCAAGCTGTGCCACCATTGGGAGCCGGGGCTCTCCCTCAGTGGGTTCAACCTGAAGTCCTAACGAGAGAATGGATAACCATGCAAGGTAAAAAGTGACTATCTCAAATGCCAACTAATGGATTAATGAATGGATTTTTTTTTTCACCTGATACACTGTTTACTCTCTTTGTAAAAACGCATTGTCCTTAGGGCCTTATCCCCTCCCACCTGGAAATAGAAAATGGGTTGTATTTTGGTATCATTCAACCTGCTGTTTGCATGAGAGTGGCGAAGGGGCTTGGATCCCTGGCACTGCCACTGCTTGCTGCCTTCTCTCCAACTCATCATAAAGAGCATTTTGACAAAGACAGAGGACTCAGAACAGGGCACTCCCTATCAGGGATGCTTCTGCCAACAAAGAAAATCAAAGGGGATGACGTGTTGTTTATTTAAACAGTACCAAAGTGCATTCTTCAATATATGTTTGCCAGCTTAAGAAGAGGCCCAAGTTGAAAATACGGTAAAGCAACCTCATGAATGTTCTGTTTCTAGTCTAAGTCTTATGTCTGGAAGGCAATCTCATACAAATCTGAGCTGAGCTTAGACTATGTGCATTTGAGTTTTGATAATGTTTTTGCTCTGGGAGATGCCCCATATTGGACCATTTTGCTTTGGCATTCAGAATGATGGGAGAAACTAGGAGGGATAGAGTTTCCCTGGTGTACAACATCTTTTGAGTTATAAGTTATTTCCAATTTACAGCTGTCATCCTTGTATTCAACTGTTCTCATTCCTAATGAAGGTGCTGAGAAAGAGTATTAGTAAAGAACAGATGTGCAGGATGACATCTTTGTACACTAGGGCTGTTTTCAGAACATCTGATTTTTGAAAATACCCTCTTTTGGAACCATTGTTCAGAAATTCAAAATCCCCTTGGTGTCAGTTTCTCATCCAACAAAGATCAAATGTATCCATGTTCCATTTAAACTTGTAAAACCAATTTGAAGGACTGATGTAAGAATGCATACTGTACATGGTAAACCAGCACTTGAGGGACCTTTGAAATCATCTGGTACAACCTCGCCAAAGGAGGGTGGTTAAAATGATTTGTAAGAAACAGTGCAGCTAGTTGGAGAATAGAACTTGATTGTCTCTTGGTCCCTAAAGTAACAGAAAACACTCTACATACCACTCTCATTAATTCCCATATAGCCTGGTGTGGTGAAGTGGGTGGCCCTCATTTTCAGAGGGGAAACTTTGGCTCTGACATAGCCTGGAAGCTGGATCCTCTGACTCCAAAGCTACCTGCTTTCTCTGCTGCCCTGGGTCAAATGAACCTCAGAGTGGTGCCATCTTCCTCCACTGGCTTTAGCTAACAACATGGTTCGAGGTGATTTCTGGGTTGGATCTCCTCCTTTTGTACTGGGCCTGACAGGGCTAGAGAGATCAGAATCTCCCCTCTGTACCCACTGAAGGGGTGGGAGGATCCTCATGTAGCAAGGATTGTGAGGCACAATCTGCACCTAAATCAGTTCTCTCCTGTGGCCACATCTGAGTCTCCCCAGCTACTCACTGGAGCTTGGATAAATGACTTGAAAAACGGGATAGGCTTACCTAATCTTGGAGAGTTGGTGGTGGGAGAAATTTCTTCTGGTCTGCTCTTGTTAGAAGATTGGAGAAGTCCCAGAAGAGTGGCAGCCAGCTTCGCATCTGCTATGGAGAAGGAAGGGGCTCTGGTTGAGTGCCAGCCCAGTGGGATGAAGTATCTTGTAGATGGGATTTGCCCAGGAGAGCTAGTGACTACGCTGGCTACAGGGGAAGTGGCCGCTACCTGAAAGACCCCCTTGATTAGTTCTGAATTACCATTCATCTGACAAATCTAGTCTTAGGCTTTCCTCACTGAAATGAGGATTGGGTCATGACTCTTTAAAAGAACAAAACTCAGGAAACCAAGTAACTGAAATTTACTCACCCCAGAGCTGAGAATGTGTTTTTAACACCAGAAGGACCCATAGAGATTGAAACCCCTATTGATGCTATGGGTAAGTGTGAATGACCTGCTCTATGTCATATAGCAAACAAGACACAGGGTTAAAATCAAATCCCACAAATATGACCAAGTCCAGATTACTGTTCTGGTAGAAAAGAATGAACACAACTTGTAAATGATTGTATGTCTTCCCAAGATGCAGCAGTCCACTTGGATAAAAGGGTGGATGAGCTGACAGTCATACTCTGCATACTTACAACAGCAGGCAGGTTGGGATGCTGTTTTTTTTTTTTTTTTTTTTTGTTAATAAGAACATGGTTTTAAGGGAAAGCCCAGGCAGTGCCTGTGGAAAGATGCCCACACTGGCTTCTGGTTGCCTAGCCACACCTGTGTATATACTGTGTATTATCCCACTAAGCACCAACATGAGCCATTTCCCATTCCTCCCAACACATTCTTCAATAAATCTTACTGAGGGCCTCCTGGACCCAGGTTCTGGGCTGAGCACCAGAGGTATAATCAGTTCTTGGTCTGATACAGTTTGGTGCCCATCGAAGTCATATTGGGTCACAAAGAAAAGTGCAGTTCAGTTTGGGAGGAGAGTTCAAGGACATAACTGAGCTGAGGCTGAAAGGATAAGAAACATTAGCTACCATGTGGTCTTACCTAGGTCTTCCTAGATGTACTCAGCAGAGTCGCTGGGTAGCCTCTTAGTGGCTTCCTTCCCAGGAGTTCTACATTGCATGACTTGGTTGTACGTGAGGGAAAAGGGGCCAGCACTCTGCACACTCACTCTGTAAACCTCCAAGACGGGAAAGTTAACAATCAGGAATGCAGAATGATCCTGGCAGCCTGGAACCCTGGGCTGAGGCTAAGATGATAAAATATGAAATCCTGCATCAGATACCAAAGGTCAATTTCAAGTATAAAAAAAGGGAACACAGTTCTGATATTAGTCTGCTGATAAAGGCTCAATAAAGCCAAAGAGAAAATATCATTGTTTTAAGAGTGAGCAAAAGGCAAATAATATGGCAGGCTATATAAAAGAATGTCCTAGCCAGAGAAGGGAGTGGGCAGTCCTGCTGTGTGCTGCACTGGGCACAGCTAGAGCACTGCATCTGGGTATCATGAGTAGGGGGAACCCCAAAACTTAGCAAGTCTAGGAGAGGCAATCAGTTTATTCAGGTGGTATCCTACATGGAATAACTGAAAGTTAAGAGCATCTGGCCTAGATAGGTGTAGCCTCTTCAGGATACTCTCACGTCAGTAAAGGGCTGGCCTGGCTGGGCAGGGAGAACAGGTACACTCTTGGCCAAAAAGCAGTTAGGACTACTGAGAGACTGAGGCAGACACTTAGCCCAATGGCTAGAGCCATCCAACAGCTTTCCCAATAAAAGAAGGGACAGCCTTTAGAGGGAATGAGCTCCCTGTCACTAGATGTGCAAGTGGGGGCTGAATGACCTGTTGGTGAGACTGCAAGAGGCTTCCTGACTTGTTGGGACAGGATGTTCCCAGGAGCCTTTCAGGCCTCGAGCTTTTGACAGTGTTTCTGGCTAAAGGGAGCATTCCAGTTCTCTAGAACTTGAATCTAGTGCAGTTTACAGTGTGAATGATGGTGTGGATTCTCCTTCCTAACATCAGGGGAAGGGTGGTTTGGGGCCCAGGAGATCCAAGGTGGTGAGTCAGCGACATGCCCCTGCACATGGATCTGTCCAGATGCCTGAGCGAATGAGATGTAACTGACTTTGTAACTTGGTATGTGCAGGTGACTGTATGTAATTAATTGTGTATGTGACTGTCTGAACTTGAATGTGTCTGGTATGACCACAGCTGGCTGTAACGATGTCACTGGCCACATGTGTGAGACTGGTTAAGTATGATGGTATGCAAATACTTCTGTCCTAGTAGTCTCACACTCAAAATGCAGCAGATACTACACCATGCTGCACCTGTGGCTACAAGACTGTATTTCTATAATCACCTTAATTGCAACTTAGGCTGTGGGAGTCTGTGCCATGGTGAGGACTGTTAATCGTTGTGCCACTGCTTCCTGGACCCTGAGAGCTGCAGGCCTGCTCCCCAGATCTGAATTGTAGGCACCTCCAGGAGAGTAGTCTTAGGAGCAAGCATTGCCCAGGTGACTAGGTCAGACCCAGCATCCACCCCGAAATGCACACCTCTCCAGAATTCAGCCCAGTGGACTTCTGATCCCCCTCTGCAGCAGGTGCTGACTACTGGGCACTCATAAGAATGGGACAACCCCATACGCTGCCTTGGCCAGAACTAGTTTACTTACCTCAGTCCAGGTTGACCTTGCAGAGTCCCAGGGTCTGTTTTAGAGCCACAGTCCACTGTATTTGCATACAGGACTTCAGCTTATGTCCTGGATCAGAAGACCTTGGGAAATTCCATGTAAGCCATCCTCTCAACTTGTCCCAGCTTTGGCCATGGCCATCTGATGAGGAAATTCCCAACCCCCTCTCCTCCCTCACCACATTTGCCCTCACAATGGAAAAAGCTGCCCAATACACACCCAGACACACACACACACGGCTGTCACACACACACGGCTGTGGGTGAGTTAACTTCTCTGAGCCTTAGATTTTGTGCTGCTTCTCTGTTTCAGCAACACTGTTTTCCATCCTGGCGCTTACCCCAGCTCTGCTAGACACGTGTGCCTCAGACAGGTGTCCCACAGGACTTCAGGGATGTGCATCAGCTGGGGTTTCTTTCCCCAGTGCAACAACTTGGCCCAGGCTCCAAAAAGGAACGAGGGCTCCCTTGCTGTATGCACTCACTCTTTATTGCTGTTGGGCCAGGTTTCTGCCTGGCCCGAGGAAGGGAGGTCCTGACGATCTCCCCATTCTCTGCCACCAGTGAGCGAGGCCCAGTAGAGCTCCGAGGCTCGCGCTTGTCCCAAGGAGCAGTCAAGGGCATGGAATCCCCGTGGAGGGTGTGGGGCACAGGTTGGGTGGCGTACATGGCTGTGTGTGCAGCCCTAGCCTTTCGAGTCACTGGCCATAGGCTCCTGGCAGAACTCATCCATGAACTCGAGGAAGCGGCCAAACTTAGGGTGGCCCTCACTCAGTGCAGGGTGGACCTGGGGCGGCTCTGTGGCTCTGAACACTGTCCGCAGCGAGCAGCGCACCAGCTGTCGGTAGCGTGCACGAAACTCCTTCAGCAGCTTCTTGGCCTCCAGGTACTGCTTCTGGTTCACCAGCCGCTGCTCCTTCCGCTGGCGCAGGACAGCTCCTGCAGGAAGAGAAGCCAGGAGGGCCACCAAGGTCGCCCTGGGTCCACCTGACCCAAAGCAGCAGGGATTGGGTCCAGAGCCCCACAGAAAGTGGGATAGGGTAGGAAGAGGATGTTAAGGACCTGAAAATGGTCTCTCTGGCTTGGACATTAGAAAGCCAGAAGTATGCCCTTCTGATTCTATCTCAAGCTGTAGTTCTAGACGGTAATATGCTGTGTGACTTTAGGCAACTCTCTGCCTTACTCAGGACGCAGTTTTCTCCAACTGCACATAGGAAGGTCTGGGGCAGATACTCTCTAAGGGTCCTTCCTGTTCTGACACAAGTCCTTTGTCATACTAGCGGATGAGTAAACTTCTAGATCTGGGATCCTTGTAGCTGAGGACTGGTGGCCGTACCTAGTGGTGCCTCTGTAATGTTCCGAGGGTCCCGCATGCGAATGAGGACATCATCTAGCAGCTGAGCTCGAGTCTTCCGTGGGGGTGGAATAGGGATCCTCTGGGTCTGCCAGAAGGTAAGAGAGCAGAGTGTTATCCCAGTCTTATGCTCAGACTTCCATGGTCTCACCTCCTCACACAGTCACAATGACATGCAGGGGAGAACCTGGGGGCACTGGGGAAAAGCATGGCTCTTTGAAGGTCCCAAAGTGACAGCAACAGCCACCCCTCTGTACCTGTGAGGATCCTGAGGCACCATTCACACACTCAGGTGGAGGTTTACCCGTTTCTCCTTGGGAACATAGTGTTTCTGAAGACTGTCCAGCCTGGGCTTGCAGGAGCGGTGCAGAAGCGGGTGTTTCAGCATGTGCTGCAGGGCCTGTGCATTCTTCTGGATTCCTAGGGCAAAAAGACAAGGCTGAGTTGAGACATATCCCCCTCCTCCTGGATGCCTCTGCTAATTCTTCATTCCCCATCTCATAGCAGCTCTGAGTAAAAGGATGAGAAGCCCCAAGGAAAAAAAAAACAGTATTCCCATATTCTGCCCTCATCTGTTCAGTGCCATCATTCATTCAGTGAATACTTGTTCCCTTTGCGCACAGATCCTAATGGAAAAATAGCACAGGAGTAGGGGAGGGGACTAACCCCCAGGTAACCCATTAACCGCGAGGGTTTAAACTGCCGGGACTGACACCCAAGAGAGCACAGCTGGGCACAGTACAAATACTGTTGACGCATCAGTCTGAAATAAGAGGTCAGAGAAGGTGCTGCCTCCTTTGTCTCAAACCAAATAGGGAGGATTTTCGTTGTTCAGTCTGGGGCCTAACTGGGCTGGGGAGGAGCTTTAGAATCTGACTACAGTGGGTGTTTGTTCATCAGACCCTTCCGGAAGAGACTTTTCCCACCAAAGCAGCTGGACCCAAACTGGCTGGAATCTCTCAGCTGCTGTGGCTCCCCAACAGGCCAGGGGCCCCGACGTGTAGGGTTCCAAACAAACCAGGATACCCTCAGGGACCCTTTGACAGATATTCTGTCAGAGGATACCACCTGGCTTGGAAAAGAGGCTTGGCTCCAGTTTTGGCTTTGCCCTGACTTTCTCTGAGCCACGGAGGGCCTGTCACCCTGGAACCATTCTCCTCACATACCTTTTGGCTCAGTGAAGGCCGGATCAGGTTTGGCTGTCAGCAGCTCCTCATAGCCATGGTACTTGCTGGGGAGGGAGGCAGATGGGAGCTTCTTCTGAGTCCTCTTCACAACTCTGGGTACTGTGGGTGGTCTTTGGCCTTTCTCCTTTACTTCTGAATCATCCTTCTGGAAGATGGAGGAAGACAGCCCACTCACCTGTGTACAGGAAAAAAAAGAAAATTCATTCCATTAACACTTCTGAGTTCTGTGTGGGTCCCCATGCTGCATCCTTTTAAGGGCAAGAACCAAGACTGGGGTGAGAGGAAGCAGACATGAAAATAGATGATGACCATACACCTTGATAAATGCTGCAACAGAAGGGAGCACAAGGGTTCTGGGTGAGCCCACAGAAAGCCCTCATCAGCCTGGGGGACCAGAAAGTTTATTGGGGGGATTGATGCCTTAGCCTGAGCTAAGTCTTGAAGACCCAGGAGAGCCATTCCCAGGCAGGAGTTTGGCAGGGGCGGGGGGCTGCAAGTGATGAGAAAGGAGGACAAGGACTGCTGCCGGGAGGGAACAGCATAAGCAAAGATGCATAGGTCAGATGCGGCAAAGTGCATTTGGGGGAAATAAAAATTGGTGTGGTTGGAGGGTACTGTGAAGAAACAGGCAGCTGGAGCAATAAACAGGGCCCAGGTCAGTAAGGACCTTTTAATGCCAGGCTGAGGGTGTTTGTTTTGGTTTTGTTGGTATTTTCTTTATCTTTGCTGTACTGGCAAGCTATTGAGGAATTCTAAAGGGATGAGTGAATATGTCTGAATTCACTTTTTTAGCCTTACCCTGATAGTACTATAAGAAACATCTTTGTGGGGAGGGTATAGCTCAAGTGGTAGAGTGTATACTTAGCATGCACGAAGTACTGGGTTCAATTCCCAGTACCTCCTCCAAACATAAATAAATAAACCTATTTATTTCCCCACCCCCCAAAATAAATAAAAATTAAAAAGGATAAAAAATAAGAAACATCTTTATGAAACTGATAGGGATGTAGTTATACCCTTTATTTAGATTTATAGCTACTAAAGAAATAGAAAATCTGGATAGACCTATAACAAGCAGAGAGACTGAATTAGTAATTTAAAACCTTCCCACAAAGAAAAGTCAGGACCAGATGGCTTCAGCAGTGAATTCTACCAAACATTTAAAGAAGAACTATGAATCCTTCATAAACTCTTCCAAAAATAAGCGGAAGGGGGAACACGCCCAGCTTATTCTCTGAAGTCAGGATTACCCTGAACCCAAACTAGGGAAAGACATCACAAGAAAGGAAAACTACAGACCAATATCCCTATGAATATCAACACAAAAATATCCCCAAATACTAGCAAACTGAATCAGCAACATATGAAAAGGCATGACCAAGTGGAATTTATCCCAGGTGCAGAAGACTGGTTTAATATCTGGAAATCAATTAATGTAATACATCATATCAACAGATAAAGGGAAAAACACAAAACCTCAACAGACACAGGAAAAACATTTAGCAAAATTTAACACTCCTGCTCTGTCTCCAGATCCCTTTCCATGTCTTCAAGGTTTTTGGACTCTGCGTGGAGTAAAGATAGTCTCTTTGATAAGTGGTCCTGGGAAAAGTGGACGTGTAAAAGAATGAAATCAGAACACTCTTTGACACCATATACAAAAATAAAATAAAAATGGATTAAAGACCTAAATGGAAGACCAGATACTACAAAACTCCTAGAGGAAAACATAGGCAGAACACTGACATAAATTGCAGCAGTTTTTTTTTGGATCTGTCTCCTTAAGCAAAGGAAACAAAAGCAAAAATAAATTCATGAGCTCTAATTAAAACTTGAAAGCTTTTGTACACAAAGGAAACCATCAACAAAATGAAAAGACAACCTACTGAATGGGAGAAGATATTTGCAAATAAGGGGTTAATATACAACATATTAAATAGCTCATACAATTCAACATCAAAAAAAACCCAACCTGATTAAAAAGTAGGCAGAAGAACTGAACAGACATTTTTCCAAAGAGGACATCAGAAGGCCGATAGACACATGAAAAGATGCTCAATATCACAAATCATCAGGGACATGCAAATCAAATCCATGACATATCACATCACACCAGTCAGAATGGCTATCATCAGAAAGAACACAAATAACAAATGTTGGCGAAAAGGGAACCCTTGTACATCTTTGGTGAGAATGTAAATTGGTGCAGCAACTGTGGAAAGCAGTATGGAGGTTTCTCAAAAAACCACAAACAGAATTACCATAACAATTATGTAAATTAAATAAATAAAATAAATTACATAAATATAAATAGATTAAATAAATAAATAAAAATAGAACAGGACCTAACAATTCCTTTCCTGGGTATATATTTGGAAAAAAAGACACTAATTCAAAGAGATACATGCACCCCAATGTTCACAGCAGCATTAGTTACAACTGCCAAGGTATGGAAGCAATCTAAGTGTCCATCAACAGATGAATGGATAGAGATGTGGTATATATTCACAATGGAATACTACCCAGCCATAAAAAAGAATGAAAATTTGCCATTTGCAGTAACATGGGTGGACTTGGAGGACATTATGCTAAATGAAATAAGTCAGACAGAGAAAGACAAATAATGTATGGTATTACTTATATGTGGAATCTAAAAAATACCAATAACTAGTAAAGAAAACAAAAAAGAAGCAGACTCACAGATATAGAGAACAAACTAGTGGTAACCAGTGGGGAGAGAGATGGGGGGAGAAACAATATAGGGGTGGGGAAGGGAAAGGGTTATTATGGGATTACATGAAATCATGTGTGTGACACTTGAAAATTTTAAAACACTATAGAATTCAAAGAATCTTTTACTCAATAAAAAGTCAACTAAGAAAGAAAAAAAATCTAACACTCCTTCATGATAAAAAACACTCCAGAAACTAGGAATAGAAAGAAATTTCCTCGACCTGAAAAAGGACAGTTATGGAAAACCCACAACATCATAATTAATGGTGAAAGACTGAACGTTTTTCCACTAAGATCAGGAGGAATAAGACAACATTGTACTGAAGGTTATAGCCTGGGCAATTAGGCAAGGGGGAAAAAAACATTTTTTTTCATAGTGACTCCTAATTGACTGTTGCTTTGGCTGCTAGGAAACTCAACTGCATTTTGGCAGTGCACTTCTATTATGAGAGTAGTGTATAATGTACATGGTTGAGTGACAGAATTACCCTTGCACTTATTTTTTTCTTTTCTGTCCATATCTTCCTTTCATCCAACTCTCTCAATTATTTATTTTTTAATACTTGTTTGTTTAAACTCTGCTTTGTTCCAAAAAGATTCTGATATAGTTCATAAGATACTTCTTTTTACATAAAGATACTTTTATATTGTATGAATTTATATGTCAGTATAAGTCATCTGGGGAATAAGTAAGAGATGGGTGGACAGAGAGGTAGACAATTTATGGACAGATGTACATCTTGGAAAGATCTGGCAGACTGAAGGGGTAAAACTGGAGGCAGAAAGATCAGGGAGGGTAGTGTTAAAATAATAAAGTTCAAGGGGGCCCCATCAACTCCTCCAGCCTTATATTTCCCTTATCCTACACATTACCTTTCTACCGTTTTTACACTGAACCACTCACTCATGGGCCCTATATATACCATCTTAATTTCTTTCCTCTGTACCTTGCTTCACACTGTGTGCTCTGCCCAGAATGTCCTTGCTGCGCAGGTCTTCACCTTGTTAGCTCCTATTCAGACTGCAAAACTCAGCTCATTTGAATTGCTTCCAGGAAGCCCTTCTGGTCTAGGGCAAAGGCATCCCTCCTTCCTCTAGGCTCCCAGCCCCTAGGTTCTCCTCAGTCTCAGTACTGACAGCGTGCACTATTCCTGTCCATCTCCCCAATTAGACTGAAGACATCTTGAGGGCAGGACCCAGGTCTCTGATCCCAGGATTCAGAGACAGCATCAGAAGTGAGGTGACCTTAAGCAGATAGGCAGAGGCAACAGCAAATCCTTCTAAGAAACTGGTCAGAACCAATGCCCCAGCCAGACCCCAGATGTTGTCTGTGCCACAGAACCATGACTTGTCCCCATGGGTGTCCCTAACAGTAGCCTTGAATCAGTAGATCTCTCACAAGGGGCTATGGGCCTTGCCAAAGGTACTGCCCTCTGGTTTCCAGACCTGCCTGGTGCTCACTTCCAGCTGCCTGCAGCAATCTAGCCATCTAAGGGTGGTAGAGGAACCCAGGGAAACTGGGAACAAGTGGGCAGAGGCAGGTGGATCCAGGCACCTGGGTCAAGAAGATGGACTCAGTGCTCTTGGTGTCCTCATCGTCTGGGCTGTGGTGGCCAGCAGGGTCGCTGAGGTGGGATGTCCCTTCACTATACACAGTGGAGTCAGAGCGGATGGGAGGCAGTGGCACAAAGGTCCGGTGGGACAGGGAAAGGCCCTCCAAGCCCTCCATGGGCATCTCTCGCTCCACAGAAATGGTTTTGGTGGTGGGCAGCTCCTCAGTCAGTGCGGCCTCTGACTGTAGCATCTCCTTTGAGGAAGATTTGATTGTGATCACGGGTGGGTGATGGACAATCAGAGGCTTCTTTGGCACCTTTGGGACTTGGGTTTTCACCTGTCATGAGAGAAGGGCTGATTAGATTGGTTTGCTTCTAATCAGAATCTTTCTTCCTGGACATCACCAGCCTAAGGCCACCTGCTGTATCAGTCAGAGCGCTGGGTAAGGACTCATAGTGGGAGAGAGGGGACAAAAATCACACTTATTGGGCGTCTATGATGTGCCCCATACTTGATATATGTTATTTTATTTACACCTCAAACTACCCAGTGAATAATTATGCTCACTTTATAAATGAGGAAATAGGTTCAGAGAGGTAAAATGACTTGTCCAAGGTCAGTTATTCGGCGGCACATCCTGGACTATCTGATTCCTGTCCTGGGTTCCAGGCCTCATTCTGCATCCCTGACCGTATCACTCTGGCCTTCAGTAGCCTTATTTCTCTGATCAAGTTTCACACAGTGCCCTTGACTTTCCTCAGGGACTCTTACGAGGGCCTGGGGGAGATGGTCCCACATTCTCTGGAAGGCAGCAGTGCCAAGTCCCTTTCAGGGTGCTGGTCCCTGCACCTTATCTGGAGACCCATAAAGCAAATCTCTCTCAGGTTCAGGACCAAGGAATTAACTGCTTTCCTGTTGAACTGCTCAGCTTCCTTAATTAACAAAAGCCTGTCACCCTCCCTTCTCCTTTGTCTCGTCTATCAGGACAGAGCCCTGTACCCAGTTTCTCTCTGTTGGGCTTAATTCTGCATCCCCTCCCTAGATAGCTGGTAGACCTATTATTCTCTTGTCAAAGGTATTTGGTCCACTTATATCTGTACTTGGACAGACCGTGCAGTGCGGTGGAAAAATCTCAAGCACAACTCCATCTTTTGAGCTTGTGTAACAGGAGAATAGTCCCTGCCCACTGATCTTGCAGAGTTCTCCCAAATGAGCTGGGGTGCGCAAATGTACCAAATAAACTAGGGAGAGTGAAGGATGACTGTTTTATAAAATAAGGTTCTTTTTAAGAAAATATTTCCTTTTTGAAATATATAAAACCTCAGTGTTTAGACTTGAAGCCTGAGGGACCCAGAGTCTTTTTTCAGAACCCATGCCTCAACGTCCAAAACACCAATTGCCATCATTTACTGGCTGGTGGGGAAGGGACCACATTTATTCTTTGCTCTCATGGGTCTGTGCTGGAGGAGTGCTGGGGGATGCTCTTTCTCTAGCCCATCCCCACTTTCCCAAGGGAAGACTCGATAATCTGACTGGTTAGAGGCCGAGAGTCACTGGGCCCTGCATCCCAGATGGGCTGGATTGCTGAGCATCAAGGGCAGGCTGTTTTATCTTCCGTTTGCGTTCTCACACACAGAGGCTCACACGGCTTTCTTGGTTACACGCTGGGTGGGTCTAGACCTGCTCTGGCAGGCTCTCCAACTTCCCCCTGTTCTGTCCATGCCTGGTATGAGCGAGGGCCAGCAGCCTTGGTCGATATAACTGATTGAGTAAAAGGCTGTAAATCCAGCCCACCTCTGGGAGCACACAGGGGACATGCAGGCATCTCCAACCTGCCTACAGGCCACACCACGCTCTCCAGTCTAGCCTACATTGGAGGTTAGATGCTGGTTGCCTAGATTTATAAAGCATTGATTTGCTTCTCATTTGGCCACTGGTGTTTGTGTTTATCACAAAGGTGGTTTGTGATAACCACCTTTGTGGTTCCCCTGAACCCCAACACTACCCTTTAACAAGTTATTTCACTTCGCTGGGTGTGTCTCCTGTTCTGTGGTGAGGATTACAGGATGGCGTGTGTGCAAGTTCTTGGCATGGGTGCTCTGTAGATGGAGTGAGCATCCGGCTCACTCTGGTTCTGCCCCTCCCCAGCTGGCTGATGGGAAGGGATGCAGCAGGATCCTTACATGAGGCAACAAAAGCAAAGATGATGGAAACCCTTTGAATTTGTCTATTTCTGGTTTTAAATGCTGCTCTGGTCATCTGATGGCTCCAGACTGGAGGGTGGCTGTACAGAGGAGGCAGTCAGGGGGTAACTGTATTTAACTTTTGGGGTCAGCAATGACCAGTCCAGCTTTTGGCTATAGGAAGACTAAAGTTCAGGAGGGAGGAGCATTTCAGAAATTCCTGAAATCTTTCAGAGGAAAGGGGATCTGATTTACTTTATGGCACCCCAGAAGGCAAGACTAAGACCACTAGCTGGGGGAGGTACAGAGGGAGCAAACTGCTCTCAACATTAGGAAATGCTTCCTAAGATTCAGGCAGAAGATGTGTATTCTAGGCCTGGCACAACCATTCATGATTACCATAGGTGACCACAACTTGCACTGGTAGGGGCTTGGGGTGTTTATGATATATTCTTGTATCTGTTGCTTCAACCAGTCCTCTCAGCAGCTCTGAGTTGAGAAGCTGAAGTCCAGAGAGTGGAAATCTTGCCCAAGTTCAGGCAACTATGGAAA